AGAGGGTAGCATTTGTTAAAGGTAGCTAACACAAGTGCAAAAAAAAAAATTTTAGAAGGTGTAGTGATTTTTTTTCAAAGCTATTTAGAGGTTACTCAGGAGTTTGCAAGTCACAGGATATTTTAGTATTAATAAAAATCATTCTATGCACCACTTTCATCTTGTTGGCTAACACGTACCTTATAAATTTCTACTTTACTATTGAAGGATATACATAGGTTTATGTTTTGTTTCTCTTTCTTCTCCAAGATTATGCAGAATTTCTCCATCAGGTAGATTTCTAAATGCTATGAATCATCAGCACTTTTCAAAGTAGTCTGGCATGTAGTTGTGCTCAATGTTTAGTTCCATTTCTTTTCAAAGTTATTTCAAGAACCAGTTTGCAAATCCCTTTTCCTTATGGCTATGGAATTGGTTTCAAAATCTGTTCCATCTTCTTAATCACCTGAAGAACTTGCTTTACTTGAAATGTTTGTTTATTTTCACATTCATATGTTGAACGCTTACCCCACAAAGTAATGGTATTTAGAGGTGCGGCTTGGTCATAGAATGGAACTCACTTGAATGGGATCAGTTCCTTTAAGAAGGAGGCTCAAGGGCTGGGATTGTGGCTCAGTGGTAGAGAGCTTGCCTAGCATGTGTGAGGCACTGGCTTTGATTCTCAGTATCGCATACAAATAAATTAATAAAAAAACCAAGTTAACAGTTAAAAATGAGTATGCTGAATTCAACATAAGTGGTATTAATCTTCATAAATGTTTAAAAGGAACATCTGGTTAATTTGCAAAGTGAAAATATTAAAACATCAACTTTTAAATACTACTGACTTTTTAAATTCTATAAGACAATATATTTGGGTCTATTAAATGTGCTTTTATATGTAAAAACAAAACAAAAAGGCCCAAGAGAGCTCTTTTGCTCCTTCTACCAGGTGAAGACACAAGAAGCTGTGAATTTGCAACCCATGCTGGCTTAAGGATCTCATCCTGGTCTCTAGAACTTTAAGAAATGAATTTGTATTGTTTATAAGCCATCAAGTCTATGAAAATTTGTTACAGTTACCAGAACACACTAAGATAGTACATATTAAAAACATATTTCCTCAACTATCCTAGGAAATTCTGATCTAGGAGGGTTAGGTTGGGTCTCCTGGCAACTTAAAAACCAAAAACCATCCTGCTCCCCGGGTTTTCACCTCAAAACAACACCATCATGACCTCTGGTGGCTGGGCCCAGGCACCGTATATATGTGTGTATGTGTATGTGTGTGTGTGTGTGTGTGGGGGGGGGTGGGTGTATAATTTTTAAAGAAAGTAATTCCATTTATAATAGTGTAAAAATAATAAAATATTTTAAAAAATTTTTTACAAAAGAAGGGCAAGATTTATACACTGAAAAGTGTGAAATACTGAAGAAGGAAATTATAGTATATCTGAATGGATGTAAAGATATCACACATACATGGATCAAAAGACTTTTTAACATTTTTTAAGAATCCTCGGGTAGCTCTAATGTACACCTAGGGCTGAGAATCACTGTTCTTAGATAATGCTCAGGCAACTATTGAAATGAATTCTGGAAAAATGCTGTGGGATAATACATTTTTACTTCCGTCATTTCCTTAAAATAAAAGATATTGCATTTGAGTATGAAAATATTAAAATTAGATGATTTCTGTATGGGACAGATATCATATAGGGCCTTTTTGAGTATCAGATATTAATGATTTCTGACATGAATAAATTCCTTAGTCTTCTTCAAGAACTTCACCAATATTTTATTTGGGCTTTTAATCATATATACTTTGCTCTGGTACACCTTTAGCAACAGACTGTATGTACAGATAGGAAGCAAATTATCAGATGAAGTAAATAATGTGAAGCGAGTAGAGGTTAATTGTGATAGAATTTAAATTGTGGCCATGAACAGACTTAATTATCCACACCATTGTTTTGCTTCCAGAAAAGAATCTGCACGGGTGTATTTACCTAGATTATTGCCAGTGTGGTGGCTCATAATTGTACACTTAAGACTTTGGAAAATGCTGAAAGAGCCAGGTTCTGATCCGGATAAGAGCACGAGGATGTTGGCAGGTTATTATGCTTCTTGATTTCAGGGAGTTCAGCTTTATTCTTTCAATGAGGTACACAGTTGAGGAAGATCCAGTACCAGATGGTGATGTTGGCTAGGAGTGGCTTTCTCACCTACATTTGGCAGCCTTACTCGGAAGTGGTGCTTTCAGTGCCTGAGACTTCCAGTCTAGGCTGCTTAACATGATCACGGGGAAGCGTTGGGTGGTATGGATGCAATGACACATCTCATTAAAGGTCTCGCAGCTATGAACATCTGACATCTGTGCTGAAAATAGGACTGAATGCAGCTTTCAGTGGTTATAGATTCAAGTGGCGTGTTGTCTTTTAAAGGCACTACTGAAATTCATCACATTTTCCAGGCTGGTAATTTCTAGGGGCATTTTGGACTTGGAGACATGGATAATGATCTAATGGACTGCCCATTTTAAATATGGTCTTCTGTTAAATAGGTTCTCTCTTTCCCAGCGTTAAGATAATGATTTTAGCTGATGACTTATTTATCACTTAATAATTATAATTATCATAATTTAATACCTAAGATCTGTTATGATACTGTATGTGGAGGCAATACAACGGCCCTCCAAGGCGATTCGTTTTTGTGGTTGAGGAACCTGGGGCTCTAAGAGATTAAGGAACTTGCTGGAGGCCATACAACTCCTAAGTAGTAGAACTAGTATTCTGCCAGCTCCCCAGCAAGGACTCTGTTCATTTTGCCACCAACTCCTACAGTTTGTCCTGGAACAGCCTTACCATGCATTTCTGTAAAGTGCAGAAAGTGGATGTCTATAAACGTTGGTTGTCTTTTAGTTTAGTATTAAAACCAAGAAGAAGAAGAAGAAAAGCTAAAGCAACTGGATTCAACCTTCAAGGAGCTTCCTGTCCAGGCTTTTAACTCATTAAAGAATAACATTCTCATTCTTTATATACATTTATAGAGGCTTTAATTTTAAGTTTTTAAAACACTACATGATTGCTTTTTATCAGAGACACTAATGAAATTACAAAATAATAAGAAGCAAATCTGGATGTGTTCATCTTAAATTTGGCCTGGCTCCTCACAGAGGCAGAAATTCAATTTCACTCCCTTCCCTGTCCTCCTTCTCAAAGCCCTAAAGCATAATCCCATTGGGAGTCCCCTCTATTTCCCAAAGGAAATATTTCATTCATATAATGTCTCCTTTGTAATCAACACTGAGAAATGTCACTTTGATTAAACACAACTCTGAATGACTAAGACCACAGTACAATAAATTCTCCAGAGCTATCTTTCAGAACAACTGATTGCTCTCCGGTCTTAATCCTCCAGAGTCTTATTTAATCAAAATGATGTTGCTAATTAAGGATTAAAACCTCCGAATAGAATAAAAAAGAAGGATTTTTCTTTCTCCTTTGGGCAGGTCAAGGAGGCAGAATTTGCCATAAGGAAGTAAAGAGTCCCTTCCACCTTCAGTAAACCGCATTTTCTCTGACATTAGGACTTAATCCAAAATAGGCCTGAGTGCTTTGTAATATTAATATATTGGGGGTGGGGGAGGGAGAGAAAGAGAAGGGGAACTGCTTGGATGACTACATATACCAAGACAATATTTACTTTAAATGTTTCTCATTTGATGCTTTTAAAATGAAAATTTTAAGCATTTTTGTTTGATGCTATCTGTGCATTGCTATTAACCATTGCAAACACTGATGGAAAGACAAAATATTTTAGAAAAATGCTGGCAATTCATTTCACAAAAACAGAGGGAATAAAAGACTTAACATATCTGTGTTAGTCAGCTTTCAGTCTCTGGGCAGTGCATGGTGACAGGGAACATGTGAGGAGCAAAGCTGCTCACATCTTGATGTCCAGGCAGCAAAGAGAGTGAGTGGAAAGGGCTGAGGTCCCATTGTCCCCTTAATGGGCGCACCTGCAGTGACCTGCTTCCCCTGCAAGGCGCCACCTCCTAAAGGTTCCCCTGCCTTCCATCATGGTCTAGGGACTAAGACTTCAATACATTGGCTTTCCAGGTCCAAACTGTAGCAGCATCTCCCATCTATTTGACATCTGCTGATGATTAACAAAAAACAAAAATATTCTATGCTAAATTCTGAACTCGTCTTCTTTAAGTTCCAAATTTCAATTTTTTTTCTTGAGTTTCTATTTAATTATAGAAAGTGGTTCCTTTAAAAACACATAAAATAATGAACTATGTATGAATACAATGGAAAAGACAAAGATTCACAGAAAAGTATTTTGGTTTTTCATGAAATACAAACACTTAAGTTTTGGGGTGAATTGGGTTAGAAACAGGTGCTGGTTGATGTTAACGAATTATAAAATACTTCCATATTTTGTCATCTCCTCTGTGCATTGGCCTGTGAATTTATAATCCCTGCCAAATTAGTCTATTACAATGTAGATATAACTAATAATATAACAGCTACCATTTTTTTGATCACTTGCTATGTGCCAAGTTTTCTGCAGGCGATGTGCATAATATTGCCTTTAATAAAACCTGAGAAATATTATTATCTCCCTTCAGAAATGAGTAAACTGAATTAGAGAACAAATGATTTGTTCAAGGTCAGTAAGTATGTACCAAGTGCAGTTGAGACTTCCAACAGGCCTGTTGTGGCTCCAAAGCTGTATTCTATTCAACACATCAAGCCACTTTACATCTTTTTACTTGGAGGATAAATTTATCAACGTGTCATGGGAGTGGGCTGATTAGCTGGGCTGGTCTGACCCATATGTTCCCATGATTATTGACTGAAGCATTGTCACAGACATCATTCATCACGTACCCAGTTCAACCAGGGACAAATACCAGCTGGTTGCTGCAAACATGAGACCAGGATTGAACAATGAGAAAACCTAAAAGGGAGAGGATTGTCATAATTTTTTTTTTCTTAACCAGTGCTACCTACCAGTTAAAAAGAGATGTTCGTTTCTTTGATTTGTGCTCCTGAAGACCATAAGCAGCCTGTGGACAGACAATGGCTCTTATTCCTCCTGTGCCAAGGGAGATGGCTAGCAGTGCTACATGAAACAGCCTGTTCTGCTCCTTGGTAGGTATGTGGTTAATCACGTGGTAAGAGCCTATGTAGGAATCTTCTGAGGGGAAAGCAACCCCAGATAACAAGGCAGTGCCTGTATGGAGAGAAAAAAAAAAAACATGGAATCACCAATCACAGCACAAATAAGGTTTTTCCTCTGAAAGTGGCATCATTATATAATTGTCTTATTAAGATATTTACGTTAATCATTGCAATTTCAGAGATAGCCTGATTTTCGTAAGTGTAAAATTTTCCTCTATTGTGTGTATTAACCAGAGTTCTCGTGTTTTTGTTTCCTGTCCCTACCCCAAACTTGAACTATCTTTACCTCTCAGATTGTGTAAGCAAATTGTGTCGATTTTAACAAAACTAAAGCAATTTAGAAAAACATCATGTCAAAAATTAGGATGTCTGTATCAACCCCCACTCCACCCACCATGTAAGAGAAAATCACTGTTAACATGCTATTTGTTCTTAATAGAGTGATAGGAAACATGGTGATCTCAGATAGCTCAGAAACTTGTTAGAAACTTTTGAGAAGAATATTATAATAGAGGAAAGCACAATCTGTTGTTTCCATTTCTATATCTCTTTCTTCCTTCAGTGCTCTTCTTACTTTTTTTCACACAGCTACATGGAACCCCTGACACACAGAGGTGAGAAACCTGAAGAGATAGGAGTGGGACTTAGATGATGTGGTACCTGCTGGAGAGGGGGAAGACATAAAGTGGCTAAGGAGGGTTTGAGCATCCTCCTCACTTCCATGCATAGGTGACATACTAGATGGTTTTTCTTGTTTAATGAACAGGCATTTGTTTAACCCTTTATATTTTGCAAAGAATTTTAATATACTATATTGTTTCCTCTTGGAAAAACTTTGTGATGTCAGAGAATAGATTTTCTTATTCCAATTAAAAAAAATAGGCTCAGTGAGGTTCAGTGACTTGCTCAGTATTATAGAGCAGTCCAGATGTAATTTTCCTCTTCTAGTGCTTCCTATCAGCAAGTGGTCAAATTATCAGGTTTTCTGAAATGGCATCCTCTCCCCCCCACCAGATTGTAAATGTAATAATTCTTATTTCAGAAAATTTGAGAAATACAGGAAACCATCTCTCCCCCCCCCCCGAAAATGCCCATACTCTCATGACGTGGAAATAATCTTCACCATTAACTACATTTTTATAAGCTATATTTATAGTTATGTTTTATATAAATAACAAATTTGAGATTATGCTGTTGATTCCTTTAACCATATAATATAAACAAATTTAAATGACTTTATATATATAGTTTTCAATATGATTTCTAAGTCATTATTTGTTTTAAAATCCCTTTTTAATAATTGTGAATGAATACTGCACAAATATTGTGACATGTAAATGTTTTAGACATCTTTGATTATTTCCTTAGCCTAAGTTATTATCCATGGCATTCATATTTTTATGGCTTTTAATACCACTAACAAATGTTCTTTAGAAATGTAACAAATTTACCTCCCAACATTATTTTATGAGATGGCTTGCATTAATACTAGTTATCATCATCATTTTTTTTTGGCAATTTGATTAGTGAAGAATGGCTTGTCCATGTTAGTTTTGTTCTCTCTTTTTTTAAAATTAATTTGGCATTAGCATTTTTGGTATGAATTATTTTATAAGCTGTTTAATGTGCTTAGTTTTCTCATATAGACAAAAATGACGTCTCATGCTTCTGTCTTCTTACAATGGCTTTTACAATGTGAAGAATATATGGACTCAGTTATCATTCAGTAACAGACTGATTTACTTCAAGGGTGGATCCCTTAATTTATTGGGTTTGAAATGTTTCCTCTCAAGGTTAGGCAGATGTACAACTAGTTGTTCTTTTTTCTCTGAAGAACAGTACGAGGCCTGGTAGGCAAAGGGTTAACCAAATATGATAATAAAATAAATTATTTCATGCAACAACCATTTGTTTAAGGACAAGACATTTTAGTCCATATGGTACTTTGTGTAGGTTAAAAAAGGCACTTTATTTTCATCTTTTGAGAAAATGTCATAGTATATTGATTTTGTTAGATCAAAATTTTATTTCTATCTGCTATAAAATTGACATAACAAAAGTACAAATCTATAACACATTTGACTAAAATTCTCCTCTTTGGAATGTTCTATCATGTCCCACACATTCGTCATGTATGTATTTGACAGTCTTGTTTAAAGCACCAAGATGTGCCATATCTCATTAGATGGCAGGGGTCCCTGGCTCTTTCCTCTAGGAGCAAATAAGTCCATCAGATAAGTCATGGTGTGTCACAGGCCAGGCATGGGCTGTGTGTGTGAACTATGATCCTGAGTACACGAGGGGACTGGACTGACGTTGCCTCTCTGTTTGGGCTGGCGACGAATGGGTCCTTTTCGCTCACTCTGCCCACGGTCCGCTCACAGCCCATGAAATGGGCATGGTCTTCCAAGATGTCAGTCAATCTGCTGACCACAAGACATCCTGAAGCTAGACTCAACCCCCTGAAACCTGATCCCTTGCCTCCTTGGGGTGGAACTTTCTCAAGTGTCTTCCGCTCAATAAAAAGGGTTTCACAACATGCTCCTCTCTATTTTGTCTGCCTCCCTTGCCTCTCTTGTGGGAGCTGAAGAACCCCAAGAAAAACATATTTTCTCTCAGTGTGGTTATTTGTGCCAACCCAGTTTGCCTGGAGTGACCCTGACTGATTTAGTTGTGTGTCGCCGCAATGGTGGTGGTTTGTAGCAATTCAGAAGTCATTGTATGATAAAGAAGTAAATGTAATCAAATGGGGATGGTCAGCATGTGGTTGAATACAGAGAAGCTGGTAAGCAACACTTTGCAGACCTTGGAGATGAGCAGAAATTTTCAAATGTTGAATGTGGGATAGAAAGATAAAGGAAGGTGATGATTTCAGGCAGATAAGAGAATAGTAGGGAAGTTAAGGACAAGTTCAGCATGTTGGAGTTGCACATTGAGAAAGAATTTTGCATAGATAAATTTTGTATAGTTGTAAAGTTTCTTGTACACTTTAGATTAATAAATTTAGGTTTTATTTTTTAGGTTATTAGATCCTGTGTGTGTATATATATATTTTTCTTTTTAAAAAATCAATGTCATTGGTAGAATTGCATATGGACTGGAATAATACTGACAACTGGTAGTATAGTAAGTTGGCCATGGTCAAGAAGAAGAAAGCTGAATTTTTGAGCTGAGTTTATAGCAATTCAGACAGAAGACACATTTCTGATAGAACCTCTGATATTTAGTGACAGGTTGGAATCTAATGGTACTTGTGAGTGGGAAGACAAGGAAATAACTTATAGTAAGAAAGTGAATGGATATGGAGTTGACATAGGTTTTCTGTTTGCCAAATTCAAAAGTAAAGTTTTCTGTTCTGGTCTGGTGACTTTCCCTGGAATTTAGACTGATAGGAATTATCAGGTTAAGCAAGAAGTTACCAAATGCTGCTGAAGTGGCCTGTTATGGAGTCAAGCAGAATAAATTATTCATGTTTTTGTTTAAATGTTTCTTTATCAGAAAGCATTCCCTGATAGAAAATAGCAACTCTGCCACTGTCTATTTCATTCCATACCCTTACGGGGCTCTATTTTTCACTGTAACACTTATTATACCACCTGACATAATATCTATTTGTGTGTTTATTTTCTCTCCCCTTACCTGAAAATCAGCTTTAGCAGAAACGGACTGTTTTTCCCTCTGTTACATTCCCAGACCGTGGGACCATCACTGGCACAGAGTGGTCAACAAGAAGTATTTGCTGAATGTTGAGTCTATATTTGCCATGCAGCAACTTGGCTTTTATTTTGCAGAACTTAAGCAGTGACATTTAAAAGTTCAAATCATGCTCTAATCAGTTTTCTGAATGGTAATTTGCTATTGTCTGAAATTTTGTGATAGGTAGAGCACCTGGTATCTGTCATCCTTTCTTCCTTTTTCTCCCTGCCACATGCATTTCAGTTGTACTTCTTGCTAATAGTGAACAGTAAACCACCTTCTCAAGTTCCTCAGCTCAGAACTGAGGAGATGAATTTGGCTTCCCCATTGTTTTGTATCTATATTTAGTTTCCAAGTTTTTATAGCTTTTCACATGTTCTCTCCTGACTTGACACTTCTCTATTGCTTAAAGCATCATCCTGAGACTTTTTTTTTGGGTCTCTATTTAATCTCTAACTGTGGTTTGCCACCCTGTTTATTGATGAAAACCATTTTCTCAAAAGTTATCCCCATCATATCTTCAGTGACTCTTGTCTAAGAAGAATATTCCAGCTTAAAGTTCTAGACTATCATCAACTTGATATTTCCCCAGCACTTCTCACAAGATCCCCAAGCTTTTTAGGTATATTCATTTCTCTGTGTAATGAAGCACAGTGTAGTGCTTGAATGCACACATTTTCAAAAGCATATAACCGTAGTTAAAAATATAGAAGTTATAATTTCCTAGGCTTTCTTAATTAACCTATGGTTAATTGACAGACTTTTTTTTTGGTGGGGGAGGGGGTGGTACTGGGAATTGAACCCAGGGTACTCTTCCACTGAGCTACATCCCAGCCCTTTTTATTTTTTATTTTGAGACAGGGTCTCACTAAATTGCCCAGGCTGGCCTCAAACTCGGGATCCTCCTGCCTCAGTCTCCTGAGCAGGTGGTATTATAGGTATGGACCACTGGACCTAGCTTAAATATAGGCAAGAATACTGAGACAAGAGGATTGCAAGTTTAAGACCAATCTCAACAACTTAGCAAGGCCCTACGCAACTTAGTGAGATCCTGTCTCAAAATAAAAAGGACTGAGGATGTGGCACAGTGGTTAAGCCCCTCTGGGTTCAACCCCTGGTACCAAAAAAAAAAAAAAAGGCCATCTTTTGATGCAAACATTCCTCAATTCTTCCAATTATTCTACATGAACTACAAAAAACTTTTCATCACATTTCATCCTTTTTTTGTGAGGTGAATTAATTTCATGTTTCACATAGAATTTGTAAAAAAAATTTGTGTTTGGGATATTAAGTGGGAAACAAAGACATTCTAAGAAGAACAGAAGATAGACGTGTAAAGAAATAGTTGTTATATAATAAATGCTGTGCTGTATGTATCAAAGCATCCTTTAACGCACTCATATTTATCAGCATCTTAAATAAAATACAGAATGAAATAGACTGAAACAGCATTCTTACTTCATTTATCACACTTTGTGCTAAGAGCAGGATAAGAGTAACATAAACCAAAAAGTCTAACCAAAATCTCTTCAGTTAAATTGCAAAACAGCCCAGTCAGCAGGGGAGCACTTACCTAGGAAATGTAGAAATAAGCAGATATACACCAGTTTATTTCTTCCTAGGTAGATGTCAGCCAGCCACCCCACAAGCACAGGAGTAAGTATCGAAGTTCCAATAAAACACAAGTTCAAAATGGCTGCCTGGTAATTGTGGTAGCCCAGTTTGACGGTGCAAAAGGGGATCATGTTGCAGACGACTTCAAAGAAGGTGAATCTCTCACACAGCTCCACCAGAAGCAAGCAGATTCCAACCTGAATTTTTTTCACAGAGTTTGGCGATGAAAAATAACCAATATGTCTTACAGTTTTCTCCCTCTCAATGCTGAGATGTAAGGCCACTTCCTCATCTGTTATTGTAAAGTGTGTAACAGACATGACCACCCTCCTCGAAAACAACTTGTGTTAGTGGTTTGGACTTGGTGATTTTTACCCCCATCTCTCTAATGAGAAAATAAGTAAGATTGTTGCTTTGAATTTCACATACCTATGCAAAAATTTTTTTAAGGCTTTTGCACATTAATGTTCATTTTCATGATCCAGAAGCACAAGAGAGGAGACTTGAGTATTTGAACATTCATGGTTCAGTGTAGCCAAATCTGATTTGTTTGTTTAATTACTTAGAGACTAAATTAGGCTCTTCCTCCAAAATTATATTGAATTACATGAATCCAGTTGCCTATGTATGGAAACTCGTCTGCCTCACACTGATAAAGGTTTAAATACTGAGGCAGAAGAAGCAGTTTTTCAGGAGAATTTGAGCAGAGATCAAGAAATAATTTGAGTCTAATAATTTCTGATATTTTAATTAAACAAGCCAGAACATTACCAAGAGATAAAACGCAAAAGGAAATCTGTTTTGAGGGGGCAGGATACCTTATCATTATTACATTTCTTGTTATTTTTGGTTGGGGTTCTGATAAGAAAGTTAATTAGGTAACAAAAGTGCTAGTACATTTAGGTAACAAGCAGAGTTTACAAGAAAGTAATTTAAGTGTATTAATGAAAGGAGAAAATATTAGACAAAACCCCACTTCCTTTAAGTTGACCCCATGCTTGTAGAACAGACTCTCAGAGGAAATCAGAATCAAAAGGCACCATTTGACTTCCTTATTATTAATCAGCAGTTAGGGATATAGCAACCAGCTTCCATGTGCTTTGGGGAATATTGGATCTGGTCTCACCCTGACCTTCCAGCTGGGTGAATGGATATTAGCATTCTACTTTGGAAAGCAGGAGGGTACCAATTAAGCTAAAAAAAATGGCATCAAAACACCACCTTATCATTTAGGGTTTAGCTACAAGGACATAGGAAGACAAGAGGATGGAACAATTGGGTTAAAGTCATAATGATTCAGAACATGAGTATAGGAATGTTATTTTCTTATTGGCGTCAAAGCCAAAAGACCACTGGGCATGGTGACACATGCCTATAATTCCAGAGATCTGCAAGGCTGAGACAGGAGGATTGTTCAAGGCCAGACTCAGCAACTTATCGAGGCTCTAAGCAACTTAGTGAGAGCCTATGTTGATATTTAAAAAGTTGGGGAGCTGGGGATATGACTCAGTTAAGCTCCCCTGGGTTCAATCCCTGGTATCAAAACTACACAAAACAAAACAAAAACCAAAAGACTAATGAAGATTTTAGACTCTTATATGATTAATTTTTGTCCTGAGAGATTGGAGCAAAGCACTTTCTTTTGATCCCTTCTGATAGTCTTATTGCACCAGTAGCTATTTTTATCTGCTCAGCATCACTTTTTCCCACTTTATCAATCATGTTCTATTTTTCCTTTGTGTAGAATGATCAGGCAATTTATTACCCAAATTTGGGCACTTTTGTGAGTGAAACGTACATTACCTGTAGTTACTACTGAAAAACTGGTGTAAACTAAGATTGTCCAGGGCCAACTCCAGCATGATGTCAACTTACTTTTGGGGAATAATGTTCAATTAATACATGAATTCATGGTGGGGCTGTTAATCATAGTGTCATTGTTTTTCCCACCAAGGGGATCAATGCATGGCCTAAGAGATTCTTTGTACTTCTCCCCTTAGAAGTTATAGTCATGTGTGAAATGACTCAAGAAAGTACATGTTAGAAGTTGAACCATTCATAAAGCAATACCATATGAAATTGCCCATGAACCTCAGCCCTCTCTGGTTCTTATCCTTTAGGAGGCAGGAAAAGGTTGCCCTTCTGTAAAAGGAAATCAATTTAGAGAGGTCAAGGTCTTCAGGAAAGTGTTTGAGCATTTTGAGGAACCCTCAACTGGGTCCAGAGTTTTATTTGGGTTTCAGCATTACCTCCCAATCTTTCGGGGGTAATATCTGGTATGTACTTTCATATGTCATCCAAGCTTATCAGAATAGAAGAGGAACCATGTACAAGTTTTCCATCTGCCATCTTCAGAACTCCACTAGTATGGGCCAGTGGGCAACATGCCATAGGTTCAGATCCTCAGCCTCCTGCTCCATCTCATCCTGGGACCAGCTGCATGTTAGAAATTGGTGGTGATGGTGGTTGTGGGGTCCTTCATACCTGAAGGTACCACAGTGGATGTCCCAGCACCACCCATGCTTTAATTTTTGTTTTGTGAAAAGACATTCTCTGTGTAAACCCCCATTCTTTCATTATAAAGAGGTTCTGAAAATTATACAGTATCTATACATTTGTCCTTGTGCCCAGTGTGAGAGAGAATTATTTTAACCCAGATGATAATACCTCGTATAGTTCCAATCTCATAATTCTCCAGGTTGATATATATGTTCCTTTTTCTGAGGATGACTAAAAGTAAAAGCTGACTGGGTGTGGTTGTATGTGCCTGTAATCCCAGAAACTCTGAAGGCTGAGGCAGGAGGATTACAAATTCAAGGCCGGCCTAGGCAATTTGGTGATAATCTGTCTCAAAAATAAAAAATAAATAAATGAATAAAAAGCTCAGTGGTAAAGCATCCTGGGTTCAATTTCTAGAATAAAAAAAATTGAAGGTTGTTGTACTCTTGCAGGGTTTTTCTTCCACACCATACAGTGACCATTCTGGACCTTGCTATTGGGTTGAATTCTTTTTAGAAGTGTATCTATACAATGTAAGTAAGATGAATGAGTTATCACATTATGATGGTTAATTTTAGTGTCGATTTGGTTGGGCAACAGTGTTCCTATTTATCAAGTGTTCTGGATGTTTCTGTAAGGGTGGTTTTGGATTTTGAGTAAAGTAGATTGACTCATCCAATCAGAGGGCTGAATAGAACAGAAGATGCATCTTTGTGGAGCAAGGGGGATTTCTCTAGCAGACTGCCTGTGGAGTTCATCTGCAAAAGGGGCTCTTCCTGATTTTCCAGCAATCTGCCTTGGACTCAAACCTCCACTCTTTTCTGAACCTCCACTCTTTCAGCCTCTCCTGTTAGAATGTGGGCTTACCAAACCTCCACAATCACGTGAATCAATCCTCAGAATAAATTATTTCCTGTAATGCACATCCTACTGATTGTTTCTCTGGAGAACCCTTACCAATATAGATACCATCTATATTAAGGCCCCCTTTTCTTTCTCTTTGATCATGAAGGAGGAAAAATAAAGAGCTTAAGAGTATGGAATCCATAGCTTCCAAATTCATATATTTAACTGAAACACATCTCCTGAGTTCCCAATAAACTGATGGACATCTTCCCCTAGCTTTCTCACTGAAAATCAAATAGGTGTTCTAAGCTTAACTTGTTAACTTCTTTCACATTGTGTTCCTTTTGCCTTGTTTTCTGTGTGGTTTACAACATCACCCCTTACTTAAATATTCAGGTTAGAAGAAATGTCTCTTCGTTTCTTCCTGGTTTATTATATCTACGTTTTCCCAGGAAAAAAATTCTTTTTCCATATTTTATTGATGCATTATAACTATACACAATGGTAGCATTCATTATTACATATTCATACATGCACATAGTGTAACAATATAATTTGGCTAATGTTGTTCCCAATTATTTTCCCTTTCCCTCTCTTCCTCCCTCCCCTTAAACCCCTTGCTCTATTCTACTGGTCTCCCTTTGATTTTCATGATATCCTTTCCCCCATCTTTCTTGTGATTTTTCCTCTCTAACTTCCACATATGAGAGAAAGCATATGATTCTTGATTTTCTGAGTTTGGCTTATTTCACTTTGCATAATGGTCTCGAGTTCCATCCATTTCCTGCAGATGACATAATTTCATTCTTCTTTATGCCTGAATAAAACTCCATTTTGTATATATACCATATTTTCTTTATCCATTCATCCACTGACAGATAAATAGGCTGGTCCCATAATTTGGTTATTATGAATTGTGCTGCTATAAACATGGGTATGCATGCATTTCTACAGTGTGCTGACTTTAGGTCTTTAGGATAAATACCAAGGAGTGGTACAGCTGGCTCCTATGGTGGTTTTATTCCTAGTTTTTTTTTTTTTTGAGTTATCTCTATACTGTCCCAGGAAATATTTATGGAGTACCTAACATGTTCCAGCCACTATTTTAGATTTTGGGGTTGGGGAGGAGTGTCAATTAAAATTTCTAAATATTTCATAAATTCATTCTTTTTCTTCATCTCTATGTTACCATCTTAGGTTGAGCTGTCTGACATTTCTGGCTTGCATTTTTGCCTCCAGTCGTGCTTCTTTATCAAACCTCAGTCGTTTGCATATCATTTTCATCAATTTTCCATAGTTGTATGTCCTCTTTTCCCTCTGACTGTCCTGATTTTTGTCATCTCTTATAGTTATATTTAAAATGCTTTGATTTTTAAAAATCAATTAGTATGTTTAACAAGGAAACTTTAAGTTAATGCTGTAAATGAAATCATTTGCCATAAATAGAAGGTAAAACAAACATAACATGAATTAAGAATAATACTTAACATTAAGTACTTTTTTCTTGGTGGGTGAGGCTCTTTTTCAAGTATGAATTCATTTATCTTAGAAACCATCTTATGAAGAAGCTATTACTTTTATGATCACATTTGAACATCATAGGAACGGAGGCACTTATAATTAAAGAACTTAACACCAGTAATAAGTAGCAGAGCAGGGACTGACACTTAGGAGGCTGATGCCAAACCTATGCTCAACAGATCCTTTTTCTTTTACATGATAAAAGTGATTGAAAGATGATGGACAAACAACCACTTTCACTGCTAGATTCCACATTACATAATGCCCATGCCACATGTCACCTAGAGGCAATTCAATTTCTAAGATAGTAGTAGATACTCTTCCTTTTTAAACCTCTAGATTGTTTTTTACATGTTAATTTTCAATGGGTTCCCCTGCTTAAAGTCTGCAAATAGTTCTTTTGGACTATGGGTTCAAGTTATGCTGGAGCCTGGAGTGTCAGGCCCTCTAAGAC